CTGTTTTGTGCTTTATAACTGGATTGGAACCTTCACATACACATCTCTGATTCATTTCTAGGTCACCTGCACCTGGCTACGTGCTGGCACTGAGCATGTCTTCAAATAAGAGCACATTGAATAAACTAATGAACTATATCTTAAAGCTAACTGAAGACACTCCTTATATCTATTTATAATAACTAAGAGAAGTCCCCTAATCTTAAAAGTAAGGCAATTATATGAAAGGGTGAAGAACCAAATGAACCAAGAGTTGTAATGGAAGAGAAAGAAGTCTTCGGGGTGAATTGTTTGCTATTTACATGGAATTCTGTCTCTTAAAAAATATTCATGTTGGTATAAAGGCTAGAAGTTGGAAAATTTATAAGTAACCAATTTTGTTAATGTCTTTCTAGGGAAGAAATTCTTATATTGTGAGCCCCATAAGAGAATTAAGGAAGTTCTGGAAGAAGAACTTTATATTAAGAGAGATGAATGTCACATTAAAAATCCACCTGCAGGTAATCTCAGTGGCTAATGATCTGTGTTTATGAAATGCATATGGAATTGCCTATTTGATAGCAGAGTGATTATTTTATTTATTAAAATTGTGCTTATCAAAAGAAAAATGAGTTCTTGGGAGATCCTTGAGCTATTTTAAAATTATTATTACAAATAAATTATTATATTTAGGGGAAAAAAAGGAGCTAGACATTAGCTTCAACATGTCCGTCCCACTTTTGGTGGCATTATTTCATTTCATGATGAAGTAAAGTGAACTTATTTGGTATTGTGGGATCTATCCATAAACTTTTTGATGCATGCAAATAAAATGTAAATAAGGTCTGGAGGGACTGGGGATTGGTCAGGTGTACCATTCCACTGGGTATAAAAGTGAGATATCTTAGAAGCAGGGGCAGAGAATCCCATGGCCATCAAGAGAGAAGAGATGCTAGTGAAGCATACGAGTGAGATCTTTGCCTGAAGTGGCAGAAGCATCAGAGACACCAAGGGCCACAGCGTTGAGACCATGAGACGCCGCAGAGGAGCAGGGAGGAGATCATGAGACAGAGCAGTGGGCTTCTTGGCCCATGTAATAAGTAAAGCAGAGTGCCTTTGGGCAGGATGCTGGCTTGAAGAGTGGGGTGCATTTGGGGCACTTATCAGTACTGAAACTCAAGCAGAGCAGCGGCCAACGTAGCATGTGGCTGATAGGCTGAGGGCCAGAGAGAGACATGCCTGCCAACATGATAGAAAGAGGAGGTGGTTCAGACCAAAGAACTGTATCCTTAACATTTGATACCCTATTAGCTTCCCTAGTAAACCCCATAATAGGGAATATTACCTGTGAGTGCTGTGTGGCCATTGCAGTGAATTCCAGAACCCAACAGAGAAGAAAAGCATGTGGAACAGATGGTTGGTGTCAGAATAGGATAAAGAAAGATGGAAGATGGAGACTTGTCTGACTGCTGCCTCATCAAATCATCCTTGGGCAGATGTGGCCTTCATGCCATTTCCCCAAGGGATACATGAAAAAGGTCTCTGAAAAGCACAATAACATTGGCGTCTTTATCAGTATAGGCATGACCAAGGTGAAGGTTCCCATTCTACTTCATTAGAATTACCTAGGAGCTTGTTTTTGATAGCCTCTTGGGCTCCGTTTCACTTGTCTGAAGTCTAGGATGTTGCATTTCTAACAAGTCTCCAGGGAATGGCAATGCTGCTGTTCCAGGGACCATCCCTTAGCAATCAGGGATCTAGATGAGGCTAAATCAAGAGGTCAAAGCAGCCTAGGATTTCATTCCATTTCAAAGGTATGCAGGGGTTTGATGATCTGGGCTGCTAGGGTCTCTCATTGATAATTCATGGGAGAAAAGTTTTGTCCTAGAAACCTGAGGCTCCCACACCAATGCTACTTTGCAAGGACTATTGGCAGTTGCCACTGAAGAGACCGCTACTCGAGGTTACCATCTATGGAGCATACTGGAACACTGCCAGGTCTCATGCTAGCCTTACAATGGTTGGTCTGTTTGAAGCCACTATTGCAGCTATTCTATTAATCCATTGCATGGAGGGTTTCCCTCACTTTTGCCGACCCTCTACTTTACCAAACACGATATCCTTCTCTTCATTTTCATGGCTTTTTCTCAGCAATTACTAGATGCATATTGCATGCTCTTCAAATCAAGCCTCTTGGGGTCTAGGCAAGGCTGGTTGGTATGGAAGAGCTGTAGACACAATTCCTATGCTCAGGAAACCCGACATTTT